CCTCCTCTACCTATTTCCTCCCCCTCTCCTCCCTCCTCTACCTATTTCCTCCCCATCTCCTCCCTCCTCTACCTATTTCTTCCCCATCTCCTTCCTCCTCTACCTATTTCCTCCTCCATCTCCTTCCTCCTCTACCTATTTCCTTCCCATCTCCTTCCTCCTCTACCTATTTCCTCCCCATCTCCTCCCTCCTCTACCTATTTCCTCCCCATCTCCTTCCTCCTCTACCTATTTCCTCTCCATCTCCTTCCTCCTCTACCTATTTCCTCTCCATCTCCTCCCTCCTCTNCGACACACTCACACAGCAGTGAAAAATAGTGATACACCCCGAAACCACGGTCTTACCCCTACAAATGCTGGTAGGCACAACATTAGCGCGATGAAGCCACATGGCTAACACTGTCATCTGTCACAACCTGGTTAACTAGAGTTGATCAATGTTCAGCAGAAGAGAAAAGACATATTATTTACAACATCTAACATTACTATCGATCGCCATGTATGGTAGACTGGTACTCGCTCCCACCTCGATTACTCGATGGGCCTCGATGGGCCTTCTAAGCCGAGAGGTGGGACCGGGTACCAGTCTACATGAATGGCGCACCACGTATCGTTCGGTATCGGGTAGTATTGAATAGTATCGCACAAAGTGCTGAACAGCACTAGAGTGTGTCCTCTGGTGTGTCCATGTGCTGCATCATAGAAATAATATCAGGAGTTAGTAATGACAAACATTATCATTATTTGTTATTATTAGCTGTCATTTATTGTCAATTATTATTGTCAATTATTGTCAATTATTATTGTTAATTATTGTCAATTATTGTCAATATATTGTCAATTATTGTTTGTCATTATTAGCTTCTGATAATATATTATAGCATAGATATATACAACACATTGTTGTATATATCTATAGTTATAGGTATAACTGTATGGGCTGCATGCCTACATGAGCATTACATACAAATAATTAAAAATACTTACAGAGTTACGGCACATACAAAATGTACCATTTATATCCATGTAGGGGGCCTACCGTATGGAATAACCAAAGGTTCAAGGTCTATAGATTCCACTCAAAACTTTTGCGATCTACATACATGTAAATGTAAACCTAAATGTAATGCACATTTCCAGAAAGTAACTTGTAACCCGTTTCCAACGCAAAAACGGGGAACCAGATGGGTCAAGCCAACGCAGAGCATGCTATCTGTGTTGGATACTGCGAAATCAAAGTGCAGTCTACTGCTAAATTGCTACTGCAAAAATAATTTAGAAAACATAATAATATTATATATATGATATATAAACAGTTTGTATGTTGCTTTCAATATTAAATAAGTACAGAAGTTTGTAACTAAAGCGAATAATATACGCTAGTATATGTTTGTCATCTAAGTAGAGACAAGATAAGTTTTTGTATAATTGTATAGTATTTTATATATAAGTTTGTATGTATATTTGCTTGTTTGATGCTGTGTGTGTTTGTGTGGCTTGTGTGTGTGTGTGTGATGTGTGTGTGACGCGCGCGCGCGGCGTGTGTGTGTGTGTGTGTTGTGGTGTGTGTGTTGTGTGATGTGTGTGTTTGTGTGTGTGTGTGTGTGTGGGGATATGATTGAGATATTGGTGGCAAAGTAAAGTGACCCATTGCGTGAACCATATATGGATGATTAGTGTAATGCCCGGGTGAACATTTACGATAGCGTTGCATGCGTGGCAAGCGCGTGATTTTTCTTACTAATTACACCACACTTTCAATAAATGGTTATATATAATATATGTTTATAATACAATGTTTTAAAATGTCATGTGCAGCATGCATGTTGGTCTAAAAACATGCCTAGAGGAACTTGCAAATAACTGATTTTTCAGTTAAATAAAAACTAAATTATAAGAATTTGCTTTGGCAGTAACAGCTCTCCTTACCATTGCGCTATTTAAGAGAAGCGCAGATGAGGATCGACATATGAAATTTTTAGTATGAATGATTTAGAAGCCTTTTCCCTCTTATATGCTACGGAATTTCCAAATGTAGCAAATGACTCCATGAGCTGAAATATCGCTCTCTGAATAAGCCCGCAAACACAAGAAATTATCCAAATTAATGTTTCGCTCCAATGCGGTTTAAGCCCCAGTGTTAAGAACGAGGGTTAGGGTGAATTTGCAACAAACAAATTTAAGGATATTTTTGAATACTGTGTAGTGTTAGGTAGTGCCACAAAAAGAGTGAAACAGAAAAGTAAATATATTTTTTCTGGCACCAAATGTGTGTGAAATGAGTGTACTTTTAATTGTCATATATGTAAATAACAGTACATATATGTTGAACATGCATGTGTAATAAAAAAACCACTGCTAGAGGACTTGCATAAGCTGAATTTTCATATAACAATAAAACTCATTATTCGATTTGCTTGCAGTAACAGCTCTGCCTTATACCCGTAACAACCGGGGTGCGCGTCGCCTTACTGCGCTGCTATCGGTGACGGAAAATGGGCCCAGAGCCGCCAAGTTCGCCATAAGCGTGGGATAAGCGTGTGGAAAACGCCAGACATCGGTGGTTGTGGTCCGCCATGGTCCGCCAATGATCGCGCGAGTCACGCGTTTGTTTTTGAGCAATGTCAAAAAACGCCAAGGTTGCCGAGCTTGACCATGGATACGCGGTGAGAACGCGGTGAGGTCCGCGAAGGTCGTGAGACATAGCGTCCCGTGAACATCTCATAAACGTAGTAAACACCCGCAATGTACACGCGTGGCAAAGACGCTGCGAAAAAATGGTAAACATTTTCAACGGGGAATTCATGGATCTTGGTCTCAATCCGATCTGCCCATCTGTTTCCATGGCTGATCTGTCTGCGGCCACGGCCACGGCCTCGGCTGCTGTTACTTTTGGTTTTCTTCGGCATGCGGGTTTTCCTAACTCAGCAAACGCAGCAAACTATACAGTTAAAATTTCCGAAAATGCTGTACCAGCTTATTATAGTCGCGCGTGAGAAAACGTGTAGAAACGCCGTGAGGTCGCCGTGCAAAGTCGCGGATACACGTAGAAGTACCCGCAGTGGTAAGAACCCCATGAAGCGTGGTGAGAAGCGGTCGCGGGAAACGCCGGTGATACGTCGTTGCCAACCCATAGATCTCAATAAAAACGCCATAAGCGCGGAGAGGTCCGTGGCGGCGCGCCGCTGAGAACGCGGTATGACGCACAGGTCGCGGTAAGAGCGTGGTTGTTTTTTTTTTTTTTTCAAAGTTTGTAAATTTGTTGGGACTTTTTTCTCGCGTTTGTGTTCGCGTTTGCGAGCGACCTTTGTACATTTTCTGGTCGCCGTACGGTCGCGGATGGTGCCCGCCGTCCAGTGTGACGGGGGTATTATCCATCGCTATTAGGCTGGTGAATACAAGAGTAGCGGGCGTCCATAGGCGTCGGCCTGAATAAACATTCGAACAGAAATTTAATTAACAAGATACCTCAAAAACTGTTACATGGCGCTTACACAAGAATACACTTTATTCATGTAAATAAACACAGATTCGTGCTCTATGCTCCGCATCGAAACCCTATTGGCCAGCCTATGATGCAAAATTTCTGCAAAGATTGTACGAATTTTGCGAAAAAAATGCCAAAAAAGCTTTTTCTGAAGACGAAAATAGTTGCGACTGTTGTATGCCTCCTTTAGGAGGCATGGGTTACACTGGAGTAGTTTGCGAACGACTGAATTTTGTAGTTGCTCGTTCAAGAGATGGCAGCACCTAATAATAAGCGTGTGTGTCAAAAGCGTGCGAGTGTGTTGTGCGCGCACGTCTGTGGGCGTGTGGTGTACGGTGATTAAGCAGTAATCCCTGGAACTAAACGCGTGTGTGTACGTGTTAAACGTTTGCGTGCACGTGCATGGGAGTGCGTGCAATGCGCGCGTGCGTGGTATGGTGTATACGTGTGACGAAGAGTTAGACCGTGGTGTTTATACTACTAAAGCTGTAAGCAAGCTGTAACCTGTGACGCCTCTGCTTCCCTAAATGGGAATAGTTAGTTAGTGAAGCCAACAAGCGTGTCTCCAACACCAGTGACAACCGTGGCATCCGGGGCACCAGACATGTACGTGTGCCGATATATCTCTTTTAGAAGCAATCCCTATCTCTCTCTCGACTCTTCTCGTCTGGCCGTTCTGTCTATTCTCTCTCTCTCTTCTCTCCTCTCTCCACTCCGCATCTTATCTCTCAATCTCATCCATCATCTCTCTCTCTCTAGTTTCTGCTCTCTCTCATCCCTCTTCTCTCTCTCTGGCTTCGTACATGGTCTTTCTCTCTCCTCCTCTCTCTCTCACTCTCATCTCTCTCTCCTCTCTTCTCTCTCTCTCCTCTCTCTCTGATCACTCTCTCTTCTCTCTCTCCCCTTTTCTTCTCTCTCTCTTGCTCGTTCTGTGTCTTTTTTCTTCCTCCTCTATTTCTGCTTCTTTTTTTGCTCTGCTCTCTGTCGCTCCTCTCTTCTCTCATCTCTCTCTCTCTCTCTCTCTCTCTCCTCCTCGCTTCGCACGCTGTGTCATCTCAACTCCTCTCTTTCCTCCTCTCCAAAACTCTATGCTCTCTCTCTCTCTCTAGATCTTCTATCTCATCTCTTTCTCATCGCTATCCGCTTCGCCTCGCGGACAGATTTTGTCCAGTAATATCCCCATTGCATTCGCTCCTGCTCACATTTTTCTCTCCTCAGCTCTTTCATCTCCTTATCCATCTTTTCGTCTCCTTCCTCTCCCCATCCCTTCTTTTCCTTTAATTCTATTTTCCCTCCCCACTCCTTCCTTCTCACGCGTAGCACGCGTTGTTGACACGGCTACCCACACACGCGACAGGCCGTGCGGACAGTAAGCAACAGCAGTAAGTGTGGGCAGCAGGAACAGACACAACACCAGCAGCCGGCAAGCCAGGCAGCAGCAACAGGTGAAGCAGCAGCAGCCAGCAAACAGCACAACAAGCAGCAAGCAAAGCGGCAGCAGCAAGCAGCAAGCAGTAGCCATCCAGCAAGCAACAGCAACTGATCTAAGCATGCATGGACAGCCACACGCCCAGCACCAGCAGCATACAAGCAAAGCGGGCAGCAGCAATAGCAAGCGCAAACAGCCAAAGTGCAGCAGCAACAACAGACAGCAGTAGCAGCAATCAACATACAGCAGCAAGCAAAGCAACAACAAACAACAAACAAAGAAAAGCAGTACAGCAGCAGCAG